CTACTCCTACTCCTACTATTACTACTACTCCTACTACTACTACTACTACTACTATTACTACTACTACTACTACTACTATTATTACTACTACTACTACTACTACTCCTACTACTGCTACTACCACCACCGCCAATAATCTCCCCTAAACTAAGCACAAACTCCGAATTCCCCAAGCGCCAACACCGCTGAACTCTTCCTTGCCGACCCGCCCGCACCTAGCCTGAGGGTCCCGGAGCCCCGTATAGATGTGCAATTACTGAAGGTGTCGTCTCCGACTACTGAAGCATGACCGGATTAAGGCTGGCTGCTGTTGATTAAGGGTCTACATGAAGGTTATAGGGTCCATTTAAAGAGATCTATGGGGATTATATGGGGTCCCCTAAAAGGTTTAGGGTTTCGAGACTAGAGCTTTCGGTTTGGGAGTGTGAGTAGCGTTTAGGGCTTGAGGGAAGATTACCCTAGAAGCCCAGGTACCCTTTTAGCAGGTCCTTGGGTTACAGATAGTACAAAATTATATAGGGACTTAAGGACAGGAACCCAATATATAGGTAACTGGGCTTCTAGGATTATTCAATGCTTGAAACCATGTCAGTGAGACTGAGCCATGCTTCTAGGGTTTATGGTTTAGGGTTTAGGGCTTGCCATCCCAGGGGTATATATTGGGGTAATCTACGGGTAATGGAAAAGAAAATGGAAACTACAGGGATTATATAGGGTTTATATGGGGATTATAGGGTATATATTGGGGTTATATTGGGATTAATGGAAAAGAAAATGGAAACTACTATAGTATATTGAGGGTGTGAAAGGCTTAAGGATCATTCTTGTGTTAAGTAGACCTGAACACAATAAGAAATATGGAGTTGCACCTTTCAATACTACCAAAGCAGAGAACCAGAGTGTGGTTCATGCGAGCCTAAACCCTAAACCTTAGAGACATTTTGGTTCAGATTTCAGGTTCTGGGGTCTTGGGGCCGAAGGTTTTCAGTGACAGGGCTACCCTAAACCCTGCATGGTTAATCGGATGGCATCCCTTACAGTAGCCCTGAACCTGTTCATGGTGTGTGTGGTCACGCTGCAGAGCACATGTTTGTTGTATTGACCCTGCCCCGAAGGGTGTATTATAGACATTGAAGCTGTTGTAAGCTTGCCAGCTTCAACTTGGATTTGTTTCTTCATGGGTTCCCCTACTCTGCCCTCTGCTATTGTTCCACTCCGTAGGTTCCCTCTTAATCTTTTTTTGTCGGTATAGTTCGAGCTGTTAAAGGCTTGTCAAGGGGGAGCCTTCGGGGGGTTGGTGTACGGGAAGGGTAGGTGAAGCCATGGTACAAACCCTATACCCTAACCCTAAACAAGGATTACCTGAATGCCATGCCGCTGTTCGGAGTATGTAAACCCTAAACCTTTGTATGATGTACGCCATGCGCAATATAGTCGTAGGATGTGTTCGGCTATGTTGGAGGAATTCAGAGCTGACCTCCTGAGCACCTCATGGGTTCAAGGTGTAGGGTTTAGGGTTTAGGGATTGAGTTAAAGCAGAGCCCGCAATATGACTTTGGACAGGCGTCCCAAGCACGAATCAGGGAAGATGGGCATGTACTTGCACGCCTCGCTTTCCCTGCACCCGCAATCCCTCTGACTCTGTGGTCAGGATTATCTCATGATGGAGGAAGAGTTCATTCAGGAGCGTGGTTGCGTGTCTAGCAGCATGAGAGAATTTAGAGTCCACCTTGAATAGATAGAATATGGGGTATATGGGGATCTTATTATAATATAGCCAAAGCCATATTCTATCTACTTAAGGGGGACTATAACCTTAGACCGTAAACCCTAAATAGTAGTTTCCATTTTCTTTTCCATTATCCCTAAATACCCCCAATATAACCTTAATGTTCTATCTACTTTAAGGGGACTATAGGTTTGTGGAACACCGCAGGAGCAACAGCGCTTGAAGCCCAAGGAGGAGAAGGAGAACGACGAGAAGTTCGACCCTCAACAGGGGAGTGGATCTTGCTTGTAGTTTTGCTGCTCCCTAAGGGTCCAAGGACCCAAACAATAGGGTTTTAGAGCCTAAATATTATGATATAAATGGGATTTGGGCCCTAAAGCCCTATTATTGGGTCCTTGGACCCTGAGGGTTGTTTAGGTCCAAGCTGGATGATATCCGCGGGACTCCAATGGATGTTGGCTCGCTGGAAGAGTTCATCGATGAGTCTGCTGCTCAGAAAACCCTGTGGTGTACATGCAGCCCTGTGACGTGTTGTGCAGTATCCTTTTGTTGTTGCTGTTATCTCGTTTATTATTCCTACTATGTCTTTTTTGCGGGCGTTCGTACATGTATGACTTGTATTTCCAGTATCATTGCTAATCATCATTATTACTGTTATTATAGGTAGGAGCCTCAGTAGTACTGGCACTATATCACTTGTGCAGATATTATCGTTGTCTATCTAGTTTGGTGTTACGATCATTTTTGTGTATTGGTCTCGAAGTTCTTGCGATCATCATGTTGCGGTTATTGCTATGAGCTTTATGTATACCATCTAACCCTAAAACCTTTCCTTCCTAAACCCTTAAACCCTAAACCCTTAAACCCCAAACCTTAAGTCCTTCTTTTTGATCCTACAGGAACCACTGCATCGTGTCAACGGCGATGGGCCCCGAGTGCGCACAGACTTCTGACCTCTGGGCTGGGAAGAGGGTTCGGGTTTAGGGTTTTGGCTTTAGGGTTTAGAGCTGATCAGGTCCGTTCACACTTGCCCTCGTGGTTTAGCATCTAGCCTCTAGGGTGTGGATACCCGGGCGTTTGTAGGAACCCGATCCAGCATTATTTGAAACAGCCACCTCTGTTCTGAGCAGGTACTACGTGAACATTCTGTCCTTCGTAGACAAGGAGCCATCATGCTGCAGCGTGGAGTCTTTTGCACATAGAGCGCCCTAAACCCTAAGCACCAAATTCAAATCGGCAAGCCCTAAATCTTAAGCCCCCCTTAAACGGACCAGCAGAGCGGCTAACACCCTAAACCCTTGTATGTAAGGACCCTAATTCCCGTTCCCCCTACTTGGCACATGGCAGGATCAGCTGGAACCCGGCTCTTCAATCCTCATGCATCACAAGAATCTGAGTCCCACCCCTGGTGCAGAGGGTATAGGTTCTAGGGCTTTATTGCAATCAACAATCCTGAGTGGCCTTAGCCCTGGGGCTCTAAGTCCATAAATTATGCCTACATTAAACCCTATAATCTATAACTAGTACCTACATGGAGCCCCTGAAGCCTACACCCTAAGCCTGAGGGTATGGCAGGAATTCCCAAGCTAGAAGGCAGGGTCATGTAGATTTTCTTTGGGATCAACCCAAGGGATGAGAGAGGATAGCCATAAAACCTGCCATGGCTATTCTAGGGTTCTAGGGTTTGGGGTTTAGGGGTTTAGAGTTTAAGGTCAAGGGTTGCAATGGATACTGTAGGCTTTGGGTTCAGGGTTTAGGGTTTAGGGCCGCTGCTGAAAACGCGCGGCATGACTTGTTATGCTGCAACCCAACAAGGAATCAATGAGGCTCTATGTTTTGTTTGTATCTTCCCAGACCTGCCCTAAACCCTGAACCTTAAGCGCGTGGCTCCAAGGCGTGATTGGCTTGTTGGTGGATGAAGTGAACCCGCTCGTCAGCGTCATGAAGGTGGACAAGGCCAGAAGAACCTCGCGGAGCGGTTTAGGGTTTAGGGTTTAGGGTTTAGGGTTTCCACACCTATCTGGGGAGTGTAATAAGTGTGGCAGTTGCAAAGTTTGCAGCTACTTCCCCAAAACCCTGAACTTCAAACGCCAAACCCTAAACTCTAAACCCAAAACCCTAAACTCCTAAACCCTACACCCTCAACTCTAACCCCTGCACCCTTTGCCGAGCCGGGCAGACGAAAGTCCGAAGGGCTGTATTAAAAAAAACCTAAACCCTAAATTGGGTTGCTGTTAAGGAACTTAAATTAAGTTACCATAATAGGTATATATAGTAAATAATAGGGTTTCCCCAATATAGTAACTGAATTTAAGTTCCTTAAATCCCTATATTCCCCAAGTTTCCATTTCATTTTCCATTTTCTTTTCCATTTGATTCTCCATTATAGGGGGATAACAAACCCTAAACCCTAAACCCTAAACCCTAAACCCTAAACCCTTAACCCCTAAGTTCCTCAACAGCAACCCAGTAAAGCCTACCATCCCCGAGCCCTTGAAAAGGCACCCACAGAGTCGTATGGCGACATCGGTGGCTTGGAGGAGCAGATCCAGGAGATGAAAGAGGCTGGCAAATTGACATGTGGAAAGGGTTTGGGGATTTAGGGATTTAGGGATTCAGGGTTTAGGGTTTAGGGCGTCCTTAACAGGGGGATATGTTTGAGATTATATAGGTTTAGGGTCGAATTTAGGGATTAGGGTTTAGGGTAATCTCCTTAAAGGGGGGGGCCGGGGTATATAGGGGATTATAGAGGGTTTAGGGTTTGGGGTCGAACTTAGGGTTCAGGGATCAGGGTTTGGGGATTAGGGTTCCGGGAATAGCGTTTCGAGATTTGGGTTGTAAGGTTTTGGATCTCTGGGATTAGCGATCATGTCGCGGGTTGTTCGGAGGGGTACAGGGATCAGGGTCAGGGACCTAAACCCTAAACCCTTAAAGACCTTGAATCGCATGTCTTTGCATCACTGCATAGCCCTCACGTTGCGGGTTTAGGGTATTAGGTCTTAGGGTTTAGGGTTTAGGTTTTAGGGTAAAGCTCCCTGATCAAAGCAGCTCTATACCGGAGTGTGACAAGGCTCTAAAAGCACAAGGAGGCCCTGAACCTGAAAACCTGCGCCTGGCGGGTTCAGGGTTTGGAGTTTAGGGATGTGATGTAAGCCTTCTCAGATCCCTCACGAATGAGTTAAGCCCCAGACCATAGCATTCTAAGCTACAAGCCCAGACATAATGTAGGGCCCACATAAATACCAATATCATGGTTCTAGATTCGTTGATGATTGTGGTATATTGTAGTATAGGGTACCTGAAATAGAATTGAGGTGAAGCTATCGTTCACATAGGTAAGAACGAGACACCGAACCCCAAACCCCAAAACCCCGACAAGGCAAAATAGACTTACAAGTACGGCATCAAGTCTCCTGTTCCCTTTTCCTTCAAATATCTCAACTCCTAAACTTCCTTACAATCCCAAATCCTAAATCCTATGTCCTTAAGACCCCAAATCCTGAACTCTATTTCATCAGCATCCCATTTCCTTCCTAAACTTCCCTCAAGAAATCCAAATCCTAAACCTCCTGAAGCCCTCAAATCCTAACCCTCGTCCCTTGAAAACACCAAATCCTAAGTTCCTTGATTGGAGCCCCAGGATCCGAAACGCAAACAGGACAGAATACACCTACAACCCCTTTGGGTCCCGATCTCCTTTCCAACGTCCTTGAATACCCAAGTCCTGAACTTCCTCAAAACCCATATCCAAAAAGCCTAGAACCCCCAAACCCTATAAGCACTAAACCTCATAAACACTATAAACCCTATAAACCCTATAAGCCCTTAACCCTAACCAAACCCCCGTTACTTGGCGTCGAGGCAGTCGAGCTGCCTCTGACCCATCCCGAGCTTTACGAGGCCTGGGGAGTTTTGGACCCCTTTGAAGGGTTAGGTTTAGGGGTTTGTGGTGTAGGGGTTTAGGGATTTATAAGGATGTATAGAGATTATATTGGAGTCCCGTTGAAGGATTTAGGGTTTGGGGAGGGGTTTGGGGATTTTGCGGGTTGAGGGTTAAGGGTTGGGGTTAGTGCTTAGGGGGTGGGAACGCAGGGGTTTAACCTCTACGGGGTTGGGAATGTAGGGGTTTGACATTCAAGGATTTGGGATTGTCGGGGTTTAGAGTTAAAGGGTTGAGGGGTTAGTGATCATATAGGATTTCGGGATTAACGGATTCCATAGAGTGTGGGGGTTATTGGTTTGAGGTGTTAGGTGTAAATACAAAGGCCCCTTCCGTTGTTCCAGTCTGCTGGCAAAGTTTCATAATGCTGCCTAAAACCTTCCAACAAGTTTCATATTAATTATTATCGACGAAATCCCTAAGTCCTAAGCCATGAATATGTTTTTTCGACACAATGCTTGGGGCTAAAGCCCCAATCCCTAAACCCCAATCCCCAAACCCTAAACCGCGTGGCACCTGATGGCCGTGCCCCCCCCCCCATCCCTCCCCAACCTTTAGGATGTCCTTAGGGGGGGTTGATCTAAGGGGGTTTGGTAACCTAGTAATCCCCATTATTCCCGTATACTCCCCAAGCTTCCCTAAGGTTCCCCAAGGCTCCCTGTACCCTCCCCCCTTGAACCACCACCCTTAGGACCCTACACGATTTCTATGTTGCTGTTATGAGGGCTTGGGGTTTAGGGTTTAGGGTTCAGAGTTTAGGTTCTGGGGGGTGGGGGGGTAGGCTAATGTCGGCTTTAGGTGATGTTGTCATAGCGGAAAAGCAGACGTAGGAAGAAGCGGAAAACATCATGACAAGTTGGCTCAGCTAGAACCGATATAAGCACTTAAGGGGCCAAAATAAACTCACATGAACATGGATACGTAGCGAATAATGTGGTTCTTTCGCAATGTTGGCCCTAATCCCTATATAAATCTCAATCCTAGACCCTAAGCTCTAAACCCTAAGCGTTAAACCCTAAACCAAACCCTAAAACCTAAATTAAAAGATCTTGTAGTTTCCACCTTCCTTTTCACTCGTCCTGAAACCATACAAAGATCCCTAAGACCTATTGACCCTAAACCCTAAACCCTAAACCCCTGCAGGATGTTGGCATCAAACCTCCAAAAGGCGCAGCGTGACTGCAGCCTGGGATTGTGACATGAGGTAGCCTTTGGAATTTCTGGGTTGCTATTAAGGAACTTAAATTAGGTTACCATAATGGGTTTAGGGTTTACGCTTTAGGGATATTATCCCCCTATAATGGAGAATCAAATGGAAAAGAAAATGGAAAATGAAATGGAAACTTGGGGAAATTTAGGGATTTAAGGAACTTAAATTCAGTTACTATATTGGGGAAACCCTATTATTTACTATATATACCCATTATGGTAACTTAGTTTAAGTTCCTTAACAGCAACCCAGATTTATTTAGGGGTTCATGGTCCGTGTATCTCCTTGGGAGAGTCAGGGGTACCTTCTAAGTAGGTTACGAATAGGGTAACATTTGGCTCAAACGGGTGTTATACCCATTTTAGGGTCGCAAGTTAGGGGCCCTGATCGGGGTATTGGAGTACGAAAACATACCCGAACAAAATGGTACAGCAATATAGCATCATGCTATTCGTAATATAGCAATGTACTTATGTGGTCATGCTTATATATCTCACTACTACAGCGATCCTTCTTTGGGCATGGGGACTAAGATTGGGGAGGCCATACCCCTAAACCCTAAACCCTAAATCTCTCAACTCTAAAGCCCAAAATGACTTGGAGTGTTGGCTACTTGGCGGGTCAGGGGGACTTAGTAAGTAGGTTAATAAGAGGGATAACTAGGGTTACTATATGGGTTATAGGGGTTACCCCTAAACCCTAGACCCTAAACCCTAAACCCTAAATCCCTAAATCCCTAAACCCTAAACCCCCCTGACCCTCCAAGTATGCCTCCATCCCCCTCACATCCCGGTAGGAGCCCAAGCCGATTGTGATCTTGGCGTAGGGTTTAGGGATTTAGGGTTTAGGGATTTGGGGTTTCGGGTTTAGGAATTTAGGGTTTAGGGTTGGCAGAAAGTGTGGTTTATAAAATCCCCAAAAGTGATCCCAGAATCCTCTTAAGCTCCCAAATATTTTGCATTCAGCCGGCCCAACACTCAGATATGCTTTCGTCTTCTGCCTATACTTTGAGACACGTGGCTACGCATAACCGAATCACAAGAGCTTCTCGCCCAATTGCAACGACGTTAGGGAGGTTATGCATACCCATTTGCCTGCAAGTAGCCTGCTTGGAGGGTAAAGAGGTCTCAGCAAGCATACGTATGGCCTCTCTAAGCCACATAGTTTGCTAAACTACTTGCTAAGTCCCCCTGACCCCAAACCCTAAGCCCTAAATCAAACAGTAGTTTGTACTTTTCCTATTCTACTCCCTCCATATAATATATCCCTATGTAATCCCTAAACCCTAACTCCTAAACCCTAAACCCTAACTTCTAAACCCTAACTTCTAAACCCTAATCCCTTAACCCTAAACCCTAATCCCTAATCCCTTAACCCCCTCGTAGTTTCCAAGGTCATCCTGTATGGGGTGCCCGGAACTGGAAAGACGCTTTTGGCCAAGGCTGGATGTGTTACTTTAAGGTTTGGGGTTTAGGGTTTAGGGTGTGCAAAAAACGGCTTCTTAAAGGGTGCCATATATTTAGGGTTTGAGTTAAGGTTTAGGGTCTAAACTTCTTAAAGGAGGTTATAGAGGGAGTTATATAATATAGATGATAGGACTTTGTAAGCAAAGATGTTCAGTAGTTAACAGCATCTCTTTTGGGCTTAGGGTTTGGGGTTGTGAGCAACGTTTTTTTGGAGGGTTTAGGGTTCAGGGTTTGGAGGGGGGTGCTTGAGGTACCCTAGACCATACTTCTACAAAGAGTCCAGAAAATGGGTTGATATAAGGCTGTATAGGGAAAGTCGCAGACGTTGTTGTCCTGGACTCCTGCCTCAAATAGACCTCAAATGAACTTGTTCATTGTTTCGGCCTCTAAAGCAAGGATATTTGAGCAATACCTCTTTGGAGTTGTTTCTCAACATCGGGCACTCTATGGACATATCGGGATTGCACAGGTTTTCTGGGGTCCGCATTAGAGTGAATCTTGGGGCTCTTTTTGTGATATGTCTTGGAGAAAAATCCGTCGCTGCACCATGGACGAAACCGCAGCAAATCCAAGTTGAAGGCCTCGACAAGATGCCTAGGGAGTTTAGTGCGTACATTGTGGGGATTAGGGTTTGCATGACATGAGGATCTGGCAGCCCCAACCCCAAACTACGGGCCCCATGATAGCTGAAGTGCCCTAAACCCTAAACTCTAATCCCTATACCCTAAACCCATATACAAGCCCTGTACGAACCCCCATTCAATGAGTTTCCTTCAAATTGGCCAATTTCTTTTCCACTTGGTTCTCTACTATTGAAATGTATCATTTTAATAGGATGTCCTCATACTTTTACTAATCGTAGACCGCAAACCGTACAACCCAGACCCTGATCCGTGAGTGTCCTAAACTCAATCAACCCTTGAAACGCAAAACCCCCAAACTCAATAAACCCTTGAAACGCAAACCCCTACTCCGAAATGTTTCTGCCCTGTTAAATACTTGAGAGCCGCACCCAGTGTGGAAAAGGCCGTCGCCAGCGAGACGTCGGCAACTTTCCTGCGAGTGGCCTCAGCCTAAGCAAGGTTTAGGGTTTGGGGTTAAGGGCTCATACAAGAGATATGCATATGTATATATATATATAACATCAAACAAGTTGTTTTTTGCTCGTTTGCGTGGCTTCAGCTATTACTTTAAAAGACAGAGCCCCAGGGTGAACTACATCATGGGGATGGGCAGGTCGCCACGTATGATCTCAGCGAAACTGCTTAGAGCTCCCCAAAACCTCGCAATAACTGGACCTTAAACCCTGATGTAGAAGCCTGAATAATTCATGACATCATCCCTTAGAGCTCTCGTAGATGATTGTGGTAAAACCTACCCGAAAACCCTGCCTAGTTTATTCGCACCCCTCAGTTGCTTTTCTCCATGATTCTTTGCTCTTCTAATTGATTCCTGTCGTGTTTTCCCTAGAGCCCAAGTCTTAAACCTAAGGGTTTAGGGTTTAGAGTTTCACACAACATGGTATCTCTGGGGCTGTTTGCCGTGGGAATCTCATTCGCCTACTGCCCGTCCCGCCCAGTACCGCCTAGTTCCTCCTTTCTACTTAACGGCGAAAGTTGGGGGAGGGTTAGTGAATCGGGTAGAGAACCCGCTACAATAATTCCCGACCCTTCGTTGAGGAGCTCGGAAGAATGGCCTGAAGGGAGCAGGTCCCCAAAAAGGTGCCCTTACACATCGCAGGCATGTGAAAAGCCTGGTGGTTCAGGTTATGGACTATATTATGGCACCTAGTAGATAGGGGTACCAAGATGGGACCCTAAGAACCCTAAAGCCTAAACGCTAACTTGGAAACTACCCTTGTGCTTTGGATAGATTCGAAAGTTGAAGGGAGCCTGGTTACCCAGGGGGGGAATTTGGCAAGCCCAAAGGCTCCATGCAGATATATGGTATACCTAAACCCCCAAAGTATGTAAAATAATGGCCTTTAGGGCTATTATTATGGGTTTAGGGCCATGATTTTACACATTTTGGGGGTTTAGGTATGATATTTACTTGGGCCTTAAAGTAGTTATATGGGAACCCGTTTGGGCCCGAAGTATATACCATATAGCTACATGGAGCCTTCGGCTAGGAGCTCTTATGTGAAGCTCCTATGTTCAGGAATGCCCTTACTACTGTGGTTTCGGTGCTATTCTAATGACCCATAGAAGGTAAACATAAAAAAAAAGTAAGAACCTGAATATATCAGCTGATGGATGACAGGGCCTTCCTCGTACGCGCTAGAACATGGACATTTCATGGTTTCGCATGGATTCTCTGGTTTTCGTTCGCGTTAGAAAGTGGATGGGCATGGCTGCTCGGGCTTTCGTATGCTTATCGTTTGGGCATGGATGCTCTTGTTTTCATATGCGCAAGACGGGGACGTTATTATGGTTTGGATATTCCGCAAAAAAATATGTGAGCCACACCTTTGCTAACTGGCATCCAAGAATGGCTGCCTGGAGCACCGCGAGGCAAGACATGACTGTCAGACCACTAAACGGATAAACTCTTAGAGCACTCCGCACATGACTTACTGACACCTTCAGAACCCTCAAAACCTTCAAAGAGCACTGAAACCCCGATTGTTTCAAATCAACTTTCCTCAGGAGGTCGGCAAAGCCTAAGCCCTGAACCCTAAACCCTAAGCAGAACAAATATTGCCATGGGCTTGAGAACCCTGCAGTAAAGCCTAAAGTAATTATTCCTATGGGTGCCTAACTCTAAACCCTGAGCCCTAAACTGTTCCCATGAGTTTGCAGCTGAGGTCGGTAGCGAGCTGATTCAGAAGTACCTTGGCGAGGGGCCGAAGCTGGTAGTGTTGGCCTGTTTGGTGTAGGGCTTGGGGATTCGGAGGAACTCCCAAAGGTTGTTACTGCTCGGGGGATTACAGGATATGGTAGCCATAGATATCCCCATTATTAACCTACTTCTGAAGTGCCCCTGGCCCTGCAACTAGGAGCTTTGAAGTAGCATAGCTGTCCCTAAGGGTCCATGGACCGAAATAATAGGGCTTTAGGGCCCAAATACTATTAATATTATAGTATTTGAACCCTAGAACCCCATTTTTGGAGTCCTTGGACCCTTACCCTAAGCATCTAAGGATTCATATTTGAAGGAATTCGGGCCCAAAGACCATACTAAATAAGGTTTTTAGGTGACTTTGATGCGGTTAAGAATTGGTTTACGGGCCTCGGAGTCCAAATTTACAGTTGTGAGAGTCTCTAGCCATGAGCCTCCAAGAAGGGTTTCAGATTTGGGGGTTGAGGGTTTAGGGTTTAGGGTTGGGGGTTTAGGGTTTAGGGTTGGGGGTTTAGGGTTTAGGGTTTAGGGTTGGGGGTTTAGGGTTGGGGGTTGGGGGTTT